ATAGCCAAAGTAAAGATGTCTTCAGAATCTGTTATCGCTTATCATGAGAGGCATTGAACTCAACAGTATAATTAAGATATTTTTGTAGCAGCTGGCTTTTCTGCTGTAAACAAAACCAGAAAAAGAAAATACTGTACCTTTTATCATGTTATCTGTCTATTGTGCTGCTCTTCTTGTTCTCATGTTGTACTACTGATATTCTGTGTTGTTTTTCAGATTTATGTAACATACCATTTCCACCACACAGAAAATGAATATTGTTGCTTATTATTTATTTGGGATATATTTTTTACATGTTGGTCTCATATCTTTGTAAATATTTCATGGTCAATTTCCCCTGAAAAATGCTTTATTTGAAAAGAAAACAAAGATTCACAAATTTGCATCCACCAAGCAAATGCAACAGGTGCATCTCTAGTGCATCATGTACCTCTGTTATGTAACTTTGACTAGCATCTGCAATCAACAAGAGCCACCCTACACTCTATCTTTCCCTTTGCTTTGACATTGTAATATATAGCACTGATTGTGACAAGTCAGTCACTTGCTTAATGATGGTCTGAATTCTATATTGTGAAAGAGGAATATGTAAGATTCCCTATGATGTAAATAAGTTCTGCAATATCCCATTAGTAGCATTTGTCGCATAAAAACTGCTAGTAGGCCTAAAAACATGCATTTGCTGATGTATTGGAACAAACTCCATCCTTCACACTATTCTTTCTGAGACTGTCTACTCCTTCTTTCCAAATCCCTTTTTCCCAACATTGTTCTATAGCTCGGTCCCATTTCAGAGGCCTTCCTCAGAGGTATCAAGCTTTTGCCTTTTCCTCCACAGTTGAGCCTGTCATTACTCACATCACCAAAAAGAAAGAGCTGAGATTATTCTTTCCTTTTCCCTGAGGGGGGTCCATGCAACATTTAGCCCACGAGAATCTGTGTGAAGCCTAAACTTTACTCAGACTCTCTTAGCCCATGAGAATATGTCCATCTATTTAAATGTCTAGTATAATGTTAACATATGGTTAATACATGTTTACTGTCCACCATGATGCCCCTTTTCTTATGTCCAGGTTTGGCAATTCAATTCAATCTTATTTGTATAGCATCAAATCATACGATATATTATGTTACATAATTATAGAGAAACCCAACAGTTCCCATAATGAGCAGCACTTTAGCGACATCCTCAGTAACTGGAAGAAACCTCTAACAGAACCAGACTCAATGTGGGCAGCCATCCGCCTTGACCTGTAATGCTGCAGATTGTTGTCAACTTGTAACATTTCCAGATTACCATGTGGAAGTTTTCCCTAAAATACTGTAAAATTTTTCACTGTAGGATCTTAACAATCCATTATATGGGGCCTCCAACTGGTCAGTAGCTTTAGTCATTTAAACCACCATGCGCTCAATATTTTAATCATTTTGGTTCATCTTTCTCTTTCTGTGGTGTTTGGCTCTCAGTATCCCCATTCCTACTAAATGCCAGATGTCGTTATTGCAATTGTTATGTTATGATAACACGCGTGTCCAATCATAATCAACAGCACTGCTGCCAACCCCTGAAACAAACTGGGGACTACAGTTGTAGTTGTTAGTATCACCTCCTGCATAAAAGTGTAGTTCCACAAATTCAAATCAGGTGGAGAACAGTGAGACCAAAAGCAGAATCTATGAAAATGGCCACTTGCTATCTTTGTGTTGCTTTGTTTCAATGCAAGTTACAAGTGATACATACCAGCAGTAAACTTGGACAGCAAATTCAAGAGCCAATTTAAGTTTATATACATCTATGTCATTTAAGTGGTAATCAGTCGGGTGTTTTCTCTGACACTGTTGTCTTACAGTAACAGTACAGTCAGCTTCCAACAGTGGGCAAATGTAAACTGAAATGAAGTGAACGTTACATATTTGCTGATACACTGTGCTTTTTCTGTCATTTTGTGTGTTTGTGAACATTGATTTGAGGTGCATACAGAGTCGATTGTCTCTATTTACTGTCTGCTTTGTCTCAGCGCACCTAGTATGGGGGAAAAATGTCATTGTGCAGTTTGTAAGCTTACTTTTTATTTGTAAAACTACAAAGTCTTGAATTTCACTGATGCACATATGAGATTCGCAACTGGATTTTGTAAAAAGGTTGATCACATGCGGTATAGCTTTTTGTAATTTCTCACATTAGCATTTTCTTTTTACCAAGTGTATCAGAGCAGCAACGTCTTGCTTCAACATGCTGAAAGCTTTTGTAAGGTACATCTACTCAACAGAAAATTGCATTAATATATTCACCATGTATGCGTGTATGATGAGATGTTGCAACTTCTGCTAGCGACGCCTTCTTTATAGTAAAGCTCTAATCTCCTTTTCTCTACCTCCTGACTGCTTGTCTCTTTGTTCATCTCTTAGCTTTTTATATTTTTTATTAAAGCATGTGCACCATTGTTTTGTTGTTTTAAGGTCTTGACCTTCTAAAGTGTAAAGTGCCTTGAGATAATGTATATTATGATTTGGCGTTATACAAATAAAACTGAATTGAATTGAATTGAAATTTAATTGTGAGTCGGACCATTGCAGCATAGACCAGTGTGCGAAAGTGGTGCAAAATTAGCCCATTCTTCCAATGGGTTAGCAGTGGTGAGTAAATTAGTTAAACTTTATCATCCTGTTCTTTAGTTGGGGTACAGTAGAGCTGAGAGACCTACAAAGTTTGTTCACTTCTTATCAGGAATGGCTAATCGGCTCTGGAAGAGGTTAAATTGGAGGTACGAGATCAAACAGTATAAAAGCTGATCAATCAATTCCTTTGAAACATGACATCAATTCAATTTCAATTCAATTTTATTTGTATAGTACCAAATCATAATCTACATTACCTCAAGACACTTTACATAGAAGGTCAAGACCTTAAAAAGTTAAGAGAAACCCAACAGTTCCCACCGTGAGCCTTGGCGACTCTAGCAAAACCAGACTCAATGTGGGCGGCCATCTGCCCTCGACCAACATCAGTGTTCTTCCCATTGATCCCGTGGAGCTGGGTGTGGATTGTTAGAGTCTCTGAGGAGGACAAGGGTCTTCAGAGACCCACAAGTCCTTTGGCCTACTCTGATGACAAATCTTTATGAAAGATATATATTCTCATCAGATGGAACATGACCAACTTGACACACAGGAGCAATGTGCTCACAGTAACGCAGACTGTCGACATCGCTCTTGGCTTCTTTACTTAAGTTACTGATATTGATGTTGTGGGTGTGTTAGTGGCGGGATAAACAGACATACTTTTATATTCTTATCTTTTAATTCCTTTAAGTAGGTTTATTGTATGAAATTAAATATTTTTTGGAATGGGAGATAGTTTACAGATTTACCTTGTGACAGCCTGGATCCCCTCTTTCTCTCTGAGACTCAAACAGTCAGCCCTCACCAAACTGACTACACTGTTGCGCTGTTCGCACTCTCCTTGAAGGGAAGGATGAAAGAAATATCAAACAATGTCTGATTGGTTAAATCAATCTCAGACGCTAATACACCCAGTAAATCTCAATCTCTTCCTTTTTCCAGATGCGCCAAGCGCATCCTGTCAACAAGATGCCAAATGTGCTCAGTCACGTTCCATACGCGATGACACACAATAATAGGTTCATGTGTGTTTATTCAGTATTAACTGCAAACTTTTCCACCACAGTGTGGGGGAGAGTCAGTGCCGACAGTGTGTGTCAAACTAAAGCTCATAATAGAGGCTATGTCATGTGATTAAGTGAAATGTTTCAGCTCTCATCCAAGAGGCTTCTTCAGTTCAGTTCGACAGGTCTTGTTAGCGAAGAACAGATTCATATCTCGTTCCCACATGTTATAGGTGTGTCATGGTTATGTAACCAACTTGTGTCTAGGTAACTATCTACTAGGTCTGATGAGGTGCTGAGGGACATAGACTGTAATAACCATAAATGAGAGTACGCAAGATTCACAACAAGTTTAATGCAAATGTAACTTTACTCACTTAAATCGACAGGTGATAGTTCACAAACATTTGGAAAAACTATTTCTATGAAAATAAAAATTGGGCTATTTAAAATAAATGAGTCATTTCAAGTCAGTTGTCGTTAAAGTCTGTTTCCTGTGATCAGTCTCAATGTGTTTTATCAATCCACTGTCTTTAGTTGGTTAATGTTCCTGTGACAGTTCCTTAAAAGAGCATGCACTCTCTATGAGTGTATGTAGCAGTCCGGGTGACCAGCACCACCCTACCACCACAAGGAATAGTTGATGGATCTCTTCTTCCAGATAGGATCACGTTGGGAGGCTTGCCTTCAATTCTAAAGGATCTCCATAGGTTGTTCTCACTCTGCCCACAAGACCTGACCTGTTTTTTTTTAAACAGGAATTTAAGATTTGTTTGATCTATCTGATGCACAACAATCATACTAAAGCATAACACTAATCATAAGATTAAAGTAAACATTCTGTATAACACTTATTGAACTAGAGTGTAATGCAAGGCATGCACATTTTTATTGAGTTCAAGTCCAAATATCAATACATGAATCATAACCAGCATACATCAAACTACTACTAACTATAATACTGATAAATCATGACCTTTTAACATAGCCATTATGACAAAAGCGTTTAGTATCACCTTGATCCAGTATTAGGAACACTTTTAACACAAATTCTCTTTAGTGTCTTCTTTCTTGTGAGAGTACAAATAACACTATATCACTATCATTTCCAATAATGTGTGTAATATTTACCTCTTCAAGAGGATAGTACAATAATGATGAACAACAATATTATATTTTTTACATTTTCCTGTTGACATGCACTACTGAGCAGTGGACACTGCTTTTATTCAATTCAATTCAATTCAATTTTATTTGTATAGCGCCAAATCATAATGTACATTATCTC